CCTTGATCCCTCCACTTTTCCTATGAACCAAACACTTCCCACTGAGCTAGGACCCTGACACTGTATTTGCAAGAAGCATGCTCTGAAACCTCTGACTACAACTTTCTTTTTTGCAATCCTATCAACTTCTCTCACACTGGCCAATCTTTTTGCCCTCAGAGCCTGGCTCTGCCAAAGAACAGTCTACACTGGTGGTTCTTGTATCTAGTTATAGTTCAGAAGCCCCTGTAGAGCTTTGAAGAACTTGGTAAATATACAGATTCTTGGGCCCCATCCAAGAATCTCTAAGGGTGAAATGCCCCAGGTGACTAACATTATTGGTCCCTCACTTAGGATTTGAGAACCAGAATTCCTGCAAACTGGACAGAGCCATAACTGTGTGTGAGAGTTGAATATATTAGTTGAATAAATTCAACCATTTTCTTCATTTTGTACTTCTCAGACCTTAGAGAAGGTCTTAGTCTCTCAAGAACAGGGGCTACTTTATTTGTCCACCTAACACCTTTGCTGGCTCCTTTTCCTGTGTCATGCTACCCTAACTGTTCATGTTCTTGCTTGGCCTTCTGCATGGAGGTGTGGGAGGGTTTCTAACAGGGCTGTAGTTTAGCAGGCCTCATGGAAGAGAGGGCTTCAGATTTGAGAATAAGGGACGCTGGAACGCTTTTTCCAACAGCTGTGTCCTGCTGGTCCCACATCTACTGTCTATACCATGGGAGCTAATGGAGCAAGAAATAACAAGTTACAAATCACATGGACATTATTGTATTTAATAAAGCAGCACAAAAAGCAGCACAGAAAGAGCAGGGAGAGAGCTGTACACACCTCAAGAAAGGCCTTGTGGAACGCATCTGAGACGTAGAGGTCGTTCCGGCCCTCTGCAACAATACCTGGAAGGAAGACCAGAGAAGGCTCTCTGAAATGGAGCAAGTCGGCTTCAACCCATAGACAAGAACTGAATTTGAATTAAGATGTTCTTTGGGGCACTTTTGAAAAATAGAAATCCTGGACCATCATCTGATACCTCCTCCAACAAATACACATTAAAAACAGTAAAGTACTTTGGGCCTATTCAGCCAGGCTCTTGTCAGTCTAATCTTGTGCTTCAGATTCTCACGGAAGGCAGGAAGGACAGGACTCTGTTCCTCAAGAAAAAGGAGGGATTGGTTTTCAGAACTAGTTTAAAGACAGCCCAATAAAGATTAATTGAAAAACCTGGGGCCAACAGATACCATAATGTATGGCATACGTCACTGGACTCCCACCCACATGGTCGACCATAGCTTGAGTCCTAGACACAGAGGCTTGAAACTCACACTGGGTATGTGTGCATATGTGCCCAAAAGTCCCAAGAGGAGAATGGAGGAGAAGGGATTACGGTGTGGCCATCCTCCCTGGGGGATAATTTCTTGCTTTTTGTCTCTCTGTCTCTGTCTCTTTCTCTCTGGTGAACATGTGCACACTATAGCAAAAAAACTCTTAAAAATAAATAGATAAATTTAATAACCTAATAATGTAAACTTCTTTTTAAAAAACAATTTAATGCCTGTTTTTCTTTTTTAATTTTTATTGCCAGAGAGTACATGTGCTCACCAGAGAGAAAGAGAGAGAAAGCACCCTCTTCCTTCCCACGGTGGGGCATGGTCACACCACAGTCCTTTCTTCCTCCATTTCTCCATCCCACCAGAATTTGGGGCATGCACACACATCCATCCAGTATATTCTTCAAGCTGCATAGCCAGAACTTGAACTGCAGTTGGCATGAGGGGTTGGCCTCTCTATGGCCGGGACTTAACCACTGCGCTGTGGGGCTGGCCCTTAATGCCTGTTTTTAAAGGATGGCAGGTTAGAGGAACCACATTATTACCAAAGTATCTAACTGGGAAAAGGTTGGCTGTATTTATCCAAGTGACCTTAAGGAAAACACATGAACCCTTGGGCTAGGGCTGTTTTGTGGGACCTGGATGTTCCCAGCTCTTCCTTTGCGATTCTCAGCTAGGCTTGTTTTGTGGGACCCAGATGTTCACAGCTCTTTTTTTTTTAAAACAGATTTTTGCTATAGGGCTTATGTGATCACTAGAGAGACAGAGAGACAGAAAACAAGAAATCACACAGACACCCCTGCCCGGGAAGGATGGTCATGCTGCTATCCCTTCTCCTCCATTCTCCTCTTGGGATCTTGGGAATACATGCACATGCACCCTTTTAAGCCACTGGATCCAGGACTCAAACCATGGTTGACAACGTGGGAGTCCAGCAATGTAACCATTATGCCATCTGCTGGTCCCCCTAGCTCTTTTTTTTTTAAAGAATTATTTGATTTTATTTGTTATTAATTTGACCAGAAAGAGAAAGGGAAAGTGAGAAAGCAAACCACAAGGTCCAAGTTATAAACCACAGTTGGCCATGTGAGAGTCCAGCATTCTAACCACTATGTCATCTGCTGGGCTCCTAATTTTTTTTTTAAGAATTATTTATTTGAGGGGCCAGGAGGTGGCATGGTGGTTAAAGATGCTGGATTCCCACATGGCCAACTGTGTTTCAAGTCCCAGACCTGCTGGCCTGCTTTCTCACTTTCCTTCTCTCTGTTTCTCTCTGATCAAAACAATAATAATAAATAAAGTTAACTAAAATAATTTTTTTAGAGGTTTTTGCTATAGGGCGCATGCACTCGCCAGACAGACAGAGAGAGACAGAGAGACAGAAAGCGAGAAATCACCCCCCGGGGGAGGTGGCCATGCCACAATCCCTTCTCCTCTGTACTCCTCTTGGGATCTTGGGCATGCACACACACGCACCCGGAGTGAGTTTTAAGCCACCAGGTC